TATTGAATCAATCGATAAAAATGTCAAGAATTGAATTTTAAAATCAATTTTTTTTTCTTCACATATTGATAAAAACAACAACAACAACGACGACAACCAAAATGGCCAACTTTAAATTGATGTTTATGAATAAGTGCAAGTGTTTTGATTCACTATACTATACTCAGTATAGTCCACATTAGACTTTTGTCAAAACATTTTAAAACGAATCAACATTCAAATATCTTAGTTTGACAACTAAAGTTTGATAACGAAGTGAACGAAAAAAATCTTAACATAAGTGGTAATACCAAGGAAAAAACGTGAAATGAATTTTTTTTATTTGAATTTTGAATGAACAACAAGCTATATTACGATGGTTTTTTTTCTGGTATGGCAATAGAAAGTGAAAGAAAAACAGATATTCGTTTGGTCATCATATAATGAAAAAGGAATTTGAATTAGATTGGTGAACGAAAAAAAAAAATGGCCCAACCAATGATTCCACATAATGGTCATCATAATCATTATAATAATAAACTCTAGAACGGAAATAAAATGAACCAAAAAAAAAAAATATAAAACAGCAAATTCAACAGAATTCCATTCACTATAATGATGCAATTATCATTCATTTTGTATATATTTATATAAATAAGGTGACAAAAAGCAGAGAGAAACAGAAAGAGAAAGAGAGAGACAGTTTTGAAAATTGGCCATAAAAAATAACGATAATGACAATGTGATAATGTATGTGCGTGTGTTGGTGTGTGTGCTTCAAGAGAAGAAAAAAATTTTATGATCATCATCACGGAAAACCACAAACACAACCACCACCACCACCACCACCACCAGAAACAAGAAAATTATCATCCATCTTGATCCATAATAATGATTTAAATAATGAGAAAAAGGTAGCAGCAGCAGCAACAATAACAAAACCTTTTTTGATGATTGATCTACACAAATTTCATTCAAAAATTTTCAATTCGGATGAATTAATAATTCAACATGTTTTTTTTTTTCAAAAATGAACAATAATTGACCTAGAATCTATTCTAGATTCTGGAATGTAGGAGAAAAAAAATTCGGACCAGAACAAAAAAAATCAATATGATGACCAACTGGAGCCAGTTTTTTGTTTTGTTTTTTTTTTTTTTTGCAATTACAATTCTCCATAGCAAGCGAGATCATATACAAAACAAATGAAAAAATTACAAAATCAAGCCAAAACAAAACAAAAATTCATTAATTTGCCACTTACAGATTTTCATTTTGTTTAAGAGTTTTTTTGTCATTGTTGTTGTTGTTGTTGTTGTTGTTGTTGTTGTCGGGGCAAAAAAAATACACAAAATACATGACAACAACAACAACAACAGCCGAAACTGAAAAATAATTACAACACATTGTGTCGATAAAACAAACGAAACATCAAAATAGCAACCAAACATGGAAAAAAATAACTAATAGAAACAATGGCACCATATGGCTGCTGCCAATTCAATGTATTTTTCATGGGAAATGAATAATGAAACATTTTTTTTTTTTTGGTTGGTTTTTGTTCAATACAGAATAAAACTTTTTCCATCTCTTTCATTCAAAAATCAGACAAGAATTTTTTTTTACTTTGGACAAATTTTCGAGAAAATTTTTTTTCGGTTTTTTCTCGATTTCAATGAGATTGATACTCATAATGACAATAAAAAGAAGAAATGATCATTATTTCATCGTTTGTCATTGTTATTTTTATCTTTTGTTCATTTACCTGGACAATATAATCTAACGATTTATCTATTTGAGATCTAATGATTTTTCGATTGGAACGCCAAACCAAACAAACATAGGTTTCTAATGAACATCACTTTGCTTTCATTGCATCAGGGAAAATTGGTTTCTATTTGAAAATAAATAAGCGCAGGTGAAACGCATAAAACTTTCGATTTTCATTCATTCACTTTGTGTCTATTTTTCGTTTTCGTTTTCATTATTTTTGATTAATAATAATATTAGCACCGGTATATATGGTAAACATAGACACAGTATGTAGGTGACAGTTTAAGATGTTTACATGTACATGGATTCTGTTTGATTGCATGTAACAAAAAGATGTGAAATGGAAAATAAAATTGCAAACAGGAAACAAAATAAAACTATGGCAATATTATCATGCATCATGAAATGAATGCAATAACAACAACAACAACAACAAAAAATGAATCTAAGCAAATTTAAATCGCTACAAACAACAAAGTAGAATATAAATTCTGGTCAAAAATGCAGTTGGAGATTGGATGTGAGTATCTTTATTCTTCAAGATCATCTATCTTTCATGTAGCGAAATGTGGGCATGAAAATAAAAATGAGAGAGATGGAAAAAAGTTTCAAGACGATATATTTTTTTTGAAAAAAAAACAAAACAAAAAAAATTGGAAAAACGTGAAAAACAAAACTCAAACTATGACAAGGAATAAAAAAAAACAAAAATAGAAAATTCCATTATAATCATTGTGTGTGTGAGAGAGAGAGAGAGAGAAAATGGAAAGAATATTTTGGAATAAATCCCCAAGAATAAAGCTGTTGAAACACAACAGAATATTCTTTCTCTAGGTCAATTCAATTCAATTTAATTTGAATTTGAGCAACAAAAAAAAAAAACAATCGTGAACAATCTTAGTGAGTTAATCAAATAAAAAATTTTCTTCTTTGATTAATAAATTATTTTTTTTGTCGCTATGCATTTTTTTCCGTAAATTTTCTTAGTAGTTGTGCAACAACAACAACAACAACAGCAGCAGCAGAAAAAACCAGATGATAATGGCTACAACAAGATAAAAAAAAGAACCAAATAGGAAAAAAAAATTCAGAATAAATGGCTACCGAAACATGAAGATAATTCAATTTCTTAGCTTTATGAACACCAAAAAAAAGATCCAGAAAATCTTTTTCATGAGGGACATCATTATCAAATGAATGATTTCTTGGAATTGCCAAAAAAAAAAATCATTGGCAAACCAAGTGAAAATTGAATGCAAAAGAAAATGGATGATGTTTGTCAGTTGGAAACAAAAAAAAAAAATAAAATAATGCCACCACCATCATCATCATCATTGTCGACATATATTCAATGAAAATGGATTGAATTTTCTATTTTTTTCCACTTCAATATTGAAATTCATACAATAAAAAAAAGCTTTATGGCCCGAGTGTAGATTGGACCGGCCTTTCACCATATGCAGTACACACAATATGTGTGTGTGTGTGTGTGTTTGACATTTTGACATGAATTTTTTTTGAATAAAGAATAAAAGATGATGATGCTGCTGGCGATTGTGGGCAGAATTGATGAACAAATTCTTTTTTTTTTCATTTTGTATTTTCACAAGTTCTAGAATTGCAATTCAACAACAACAACAACAACAACAACAACAACAACAACAGTGATGACAAAAGAAGAAAAAAGATTGAAAAGAATATTTTTCAATAAGTGTAATTTGTTTACCGAATGAAAAAAAAAATGATTCACCATTCTATATTCGTGGTGTTTGTTCCACCAGAAAAATATAATACAGAGGGGCACAACAAACCAACATGAATTATGAAAATGAAAAATTTATGAAAAAAGAGAGAGAGAGAGAGAGAACTCGGCATTTTTTTTTCTCGTTAGCAGATGAAAATCGAAAAACTATTAAATGAAATTGAAAATAATTCAAACTGTATACCATCAACAAATCATGCAAACACACGCATATAATGTTGTCATATCCAAAAAATCTGACACAATACGATATATGTGAATTTGTAATTTGTAATCCGTTATCATCATCATTGTCTGATATATCTTATATACTAACAGAAAAAACATATTTCTACGGCAAGAAAAAAAACCATAATCATCATCATCATTGAAAAAATTCAGCAAATTTAAATGAAAAATGGATTTTTCAGAATTGCAATTGCATGCAAAGAAAAATGAAAGATTTTTTTTTTTTTTTTTGGTAGAATCAGCAAAAGAAAAATTTCATTTTTCCTATTTCTGCTGCATTGACATTATTTTTTCCTACCATCTAGAGATCAAAAAATAGGAAAAAAAATCATTAAAAATTGCAGGAATTTATGGAAAATTTCTCTCTGAGTGCGTGAGTGTGTGTGTGTGTTTGTTTGTTGATCCATAACCCCGAGTATTATTATTCTAGTGAATCTGTATCAATTCCACTTGGATCAAGAATCAAATTAAAAAAAAATCTAAAATGAATGAATAAATATAATGAAAAATCATCAAGAGTAATTAAATGAAAATTTTTATTTCTATGTGTGTGTGTGTGTGTGTGTGTTTGTGTGTAGGAAGGCAAAATAATTTGCCATTCTATAGGAATTAATTTCAGCGATCATCATCATCATCATCATCGTCATTGTCGTCATAGTTTTTATTATCATTTGATTCGTTTCGATTAACACAGTTTATTCGTTGTTGGTGATGGTGCCACTAATAATAATAATAATCGTCGTCGTTGTCGTTGTCGTTGTCGTCAAATTTCAATGGAAATTAGCCCATTGAGAGAGTTGATTTTTATTTCTTTGGAAATGGCTAACCACAGACACAATATCAGAAGAAATGAAATTTTTTATCATCATCATCATCTTCATTGAGTGGATAACGATAAATTTTTTTTATTGATTCGTATTGGAAATTGAACCAGAAAACAAAACTATATTCATAACCCGTAATATATCGACTATGGGACATAAAAAAAAATTCATAATTTCTCTGATTGGTAATAACGACGAAAATTGAATCAAAAAAATTTGCATTCGAACATTCCTGGAATATTCAATGCAAAAAAAAATGTTAATAATAATTAGACTCACACACACACACACACACACACACATTACATCAATGGATGGCTGATTCCAATGAAACCAAGAAAAAAAAACAACACAGAATCTGTTGCTTAGAATTTCAATTATCATCATCATCTGTATATCATTCACTGGAATGGGAAAAAAACAAAAATTCTTACTCGAGAATCGTTGGCTTTTTTTCTGTTCATTAAATGAATGGAATATATATATGGGTTGCCGGATGTTGAATTGATTTGTTGTTGAACAAATACACAAAGACAATATGAAAATATGACAAAAACTAAAGATGAATGACAACAAACACACAAACAAACGAAAGAAAAAAAAAAACGGAAATTCGTTAAAATAGCCAAACAATATGAGTAATAACACAAACAGAATGAATCACACAAACACACACAAAAAATGATCATTGCCAAGTTGTTGCTGAATTTAATTAAATGTTTAAAAAAATGGAAAAAAAACTTTCTAAATGAATTTCGATTACAAATTTGATCTACAATCATTTACTGTTGAATGTTGAATGTCAATTGTGGAATTTCAGAGCATTTTTTTGCGTGAGTTTTTGTGGTTCGAAACGGAGAAGTTTTTTTGGATCGCCCACGCACACAAATACACGCAGCCATTCATTTGAACCCAACTATATTCCAACATGCACATCAAACTATTTGTTGTTGTTGGATTCGGTCAAATCGATGGAATGTGTGTGTGTGTGTGTGTGTATGCGTGTAAACGTTCCAACAACATTACACACACACACACACAGAGAGAGTAATCATTTATGAATGCGTCATGGACTAATGTACGGGTATATCAACAATAATCGTTGCAATAGATGATAATAGCAATAAAAACTGGAACTGGAAGCATATTGAAAATGAATTTTTTTTTATCAAGTAGCGGTATTTGTGAATTTCGCCCACAGACACACTTACCGACAATAAACAATGATATGGAATTAAAGTGAAAAGTGCTTCAAGTTAAAATAAACACTAATCGAAGTTAATTATCGGATCAGATAAATTTAAAATGAAATGATCTGATCATCGTCATAATTTCAGAGGAAAGATTCAATACGGATCGATTCGTTTTTTTTCTCGATGATGATGAATTTCAAAATTGAAGAGCAAAAGTTTTTTTTTGCAATTTTCAACAATCAAACTTTTTTTTAACTTAATTTCATATATAACTCAAAGAAAAAGAAATTCTCTTTGATTCATTTGTCGCGCCATCATTTTTTTTTTTTTTTTTTGCAAATGTTCGTTTGTTGAACACGTTCGCCATCTCGTGGACATGATTGAAATTACTTTTATTAATTTTTTCCAAAATTAATTTCATCCAAACATTGACAACAATGAACGATTAATGATCATGAAATGATGATGATCATCATTTTGATTTTTGTTTATTTTTAACATCAATTTAATATGTTCATTTTAGCCAGCAACACGAAAAAAATTCAAACATTATTTGTTTGTTTTTTTTGATGAAGATGATTCTTATGAAAAATTTTATTACATTTTATGATTTAAATATCAAAAAATTCAAAAGTGTAGGATTCATTTCTATTTTTTTTTCTTGCATATTGGACATTGACATCATCATATAGAATTGGATTGAATTGGAAAAAAATTCTGAACATTTGCCAAACTGTTTCTGTCGTATGATTGAATTGATGGAATGGACCAGAAAATTTTCCTTCTTTCCTGCACTACCATTGATTTGACATTGAGGATTGAATATCACAACGAAAGCAATCATCAGCGTAGCAAAACATACCATTTTTCCGATTGATCAGACAGCTATTCTGAGTGAAACAAAAAAAATTTGTTTTTTCACTTTTTTTTTGGGTTTTTTTTTGCTTCTAAATCCTTTTTTTAGAGCCATTTTTTTTTTTTTTTTTTGCACTGAATATTATCTCTAAATATTAGCTTGGCATATTGCACAAGATATTGAAGTGTCGAGCAGAAAAAAAATGTGTCAAAAATTGCATGCAATTTTCTCTATGTGTGTGTGTGTTGATGATCATGATGATTGAAAGCATGAATGAAATTTGAGTGAATGGAATTTTTGTCTTTCAATCCAACATCACCCACACACACGCGCGTGTCAATCAATGAATGAAATAGAGTGAAAAATATCTGTCGAATTTCATTGTTGAACCATGAAAAGTTAGTGAATTTTTTCTCTCTCTTGAAAACTGGACCATGATGATGATGATGATGATATATGGCCAAAAATGAATGACCCGAATTTCAATGATGACAAAATGTCGTGAAAATTCATTCATTACATTGAACAGATGATTGACAACAGTAGATTATCTATATTTATGGATTTTAATTGTTGAACTAAATGTTCAAAATCCAAAGTTTTTTTTTATATATGCAAAATAAAAAAAATAAATAGATAGATAGACATGTAATCATCAAACCAGTTGAAATATCGTTGTTGTTGTTGTTGTTGTTGTTTTCCTGATTTCAATGGTCATGATTTCTATAGGCCATATACATATGCAATAATATTGATTGTTCATTAATGAAAGATGATGATAATCAAATGAACCTGCAATCACAAGTTTCACGCACTTACACACATGTGATACGATTTAATGAAATAATTATGATGAAGAAAAAATTGCTGATTATTGATTATCAATTTTTTTCACCAATAAATCAAATCCTATCTAAATCGATCAAGGAAAATCAAAATGAAATATAAAATCTACCGGAAATAAGAGAGTTATACCGAACAGAATTGAAAATTAACCAAACAAAACGAAATAAAATCCGTATCATCATCATTATCATCTGATTTCCATGTCAAAGTTTGAATCGCAATTTACCATCGATTGATTTCTGATTATCAGTTGATTGAGTAAAGAAAAAATATTGACAAAGATGATGAACCTTGATCAACAAAAGTCAGGAGAAAAATCTAGAAGAAAAAAAAATTTCAATTCATAACAACAACAAAAAAAATCTATCACCAATGTCGATCGATCAATGTGAAGAGGAAAAATAAAATTCGATTGATTTGATTCAAAATTTTGATTATCATCAATCATTCATTCATTAACGATTACTTTCAAGTGGTTCATTCGATCAATGTAAATCAATTGAATGTGTTTGTGTTGTTTGTGTATTGATGATCTATCTATGATTGATTTTTATGATTTGATAAGCACAAAATATCTCGATTTTCATTCGTCTTGTCGTATATGAAAACTAGATTTGGGATTTTTTTTTTGCTGGAAAAAAAAATCAAATTGCAACACCAAGAAAAAAAAATATAAGTTGGAAAATCCTTTATTCGTCAAATTTAAATAAATAATAGAAAGCGCAGTTTTTCTATTTTTTCAAATTACAAAAAAAAATCTCAAATGATTCGATGGTTTTTTTTCAAATTAATTTTGGGGCGGAAAATTTAAAGTCATCAAAACACGTCGTCGATATCTTCTTCGGTACGAGAGCGAGAGAGTTTCCGTTTTGATTTGATGATTATGATTTGGCCATATAATTATGATGATGGTGATGATGATGGTTATTGAACGATTATCAGAAGTGTGAAAAAAAATATATATATGATGATCATTTGATTGATTTGTTGATGATTTGAATGTCTGAATATGTGTAAATAAACGAGTGAAGAAAAAAAAAAAAGTCTTTGTACTCAAGTGTGTGTGTGTGTGTGTGTGTACGGATAAATGAAATGAAAAAGGGTGGTTGATGATCCTCGTCCACTGATGTCATTAACATCATCGAAAAATGTTTATTTAATTCGGGGATTTTGTCAAAATCTAATTATATATGGGTGTTTGATGGTAAATTAAGTTGATGATGATAATGCTGCTGTTATGATTACCGATGTTTCCGTTGATAATTGATTAATATTATGATGATGGTAATGGGGATGATGATCATCAAATTCCGGTTTTATTATACTGATTATTGATGTTGATGATTGATTTGCATCATCATCATCATCATCACCATCACCATCACCATCACCATCATCGTTATGGATTTCTGTTTTTAAATTCTCTATTTGATGCTGATGATGATATGATGAATTTGCATTCAATAAAAATGATGATAAAGATGATTCAACATTTGATTGATGTAACGAGCCACTACTAATTGATGATGATTTATTATTACCAAATAATAATATCGGTGATGATGATGATGATGGTGGTGTTGGTATTGTAAATGATTTCATTGTTTCTATAGCCGATTTATCAATCTGTTGATCAATAATTGTGGACATTTCGTTGTTGTTGTTGTGGTTGTGGTTCATACCATACAAATATCTATTTTGTAAATTATTATTATTATTATTAACATTTAATTCATTAAGCATTGCTATTGAATAAGAATTTGATGATTGTGATGATAATGATGGCGATGTTGTTGTTGTTGTTGTTGTTAATGTTGATGTTGAATAATATGGATGATTCATAATATTAGAGATGGCGGTGGAAGTGTTAAAATTTGTTCGATGATTATTATTCATACTGTCATTAATTGTTTCAATACCACCACTACCACTACCATAATGATGATGATGATTATAATCTTTTTTCATCATTGTTATTGGTGATGATAATGAAAAACCATTATTATTATTATTTGAAGAATTTGATGCTGCTGCTGCTGCTGTAAAAATGATTCTGATTCAATGTTCCAGTTGTAGTATTATTACTTGGCCATAATTGTGTAAATGGTTGTTGTTGTTGTTGTGTTGTTGTTATCATTGTAGCTGCGGCTGTTGTTGTTGTTGCCGTTGTCAATGACCTTGTTGCTGTTGTTGTTGTTGTTGTTGTTCCAATAGGAATATCAACAATCGGGCTAGTAATATAATGACATGATGCCATTTGATGATTAAAATCATTAATCAGATTTTCATTATGATTAATATTGTTCGATTCATTTGAATAAGTAGTAGTGGAAGTAGTAGATTTACGATTTGTTTCCGTTGTCGTTGTTGTTGTTGATGATGGTGATGATGATGCAATAGCCGTCATTATAGATGGTATAGACGATGTATTCGAGATAAGATGATGATGACGATTATGATGATGAGCAAAGGTAGTATGAATTGATGGCAATGTATTTGTTGTTGTTGTTGTTGTTGTAGTTGTTGACATAAATTGATGATGATGATGATGATATGGATATGTAGATGCTGCTGATAATTGATTTGTTTGATGATGTTGTGAAAATTGATGTTGATGCGAATGATCATGATGATGATGATGATGATGATGATATTGATTGGAATATGAATGTATTGTTGATGCTGCATTTGTCATAAAATGATCATAATCATTCATTAATAATTGTGATCCATTTATCGCAGTTGTTGTTGTTGTTGTTGCTGTTGTTGGATCTAATAATTGATGATGATTGTTAATTATCAATTCTGATTGATCACTATTATGATTATAAGGATTTATAATTAAATTATGATCATCATTTTTATCATGATTTGAATGCGTAGAATTTGGTAGAATAAAATGATGATGGTGTATGTTGTCGTTGTTGTTGTTGTCATTGATATTTTTGTCATCATTTTCATTTTGATTTGGACGAATATTTGTCGCTGCTGCTGCTGCTGCTGTTGCCGTTGAGGTAATAATATTCTGTTGCTGTAATGTTTGACATTTACGACGAAAACCACGTGGCCTACGGCGATAGCTACCTTCTTCAAACATAAATTCACTTGCCGGATCAATTGTCCAATAATGACCTTTACCTGGACGGCCAATATTTTTTGGTAATTTTATAAAACATTCATTCAATGATAGATTATGGCGAACAGAATTTTTCCATCCTTGATAACTACCTGTTTTTTTTGTTTGTTTGTTTGGATGTTTTGAATTAATAGTTTGTTATTAGTGATTGATTCATTTCTTTTAATTTGATTTTCTGAAATTCATCGAAAATTTATAAAAAAAAACTTACCACGAAAAAATGAAAATTTTTGCTGCAGATAATGATAAATTTCCGACAATGTCATACGTTTAGTTTGACTTTGTTGTATGGCCATCACTATCAATGCAATATAACTATATGGTGGTTTTTCCGATCGTCGTGCATTTGATCCATTTTTTCTGGTAGTTGTCACTTCTTGATCATTAACCGTCATATCATTAATGACGGTCGTCGCCGTTGTCGTCGAAGTCATTGATGATAGATTTTTCGGTGATTTAATGCCGGAAGAAGACATTTTGATCAAAAAAAAAAAAAACAAACAAAACAAACAAACATTCAAATTTTATTGGAAATGAAACAAACAAAATTCACAAATAAATTTCAATGAATGAATGAATGACGATGAATGGATGATGTTGTGATTCAGATGGAAATCAAAATGATCTGTTTTTGATAATTATGATTGGATTTCATATAGCAACAAATAGAAACAAGAAAAAAAACCAAGATAGGATATTTTCCATTCAAACCATAAAATACTACGATTGATGATGATGATGATAAATTTGAAGATAAAATTTCTCTGCGTTTTACACACACACACACACAAAATTCAATGATCGATTATCGCGAATTTTTTTGCATCAATGTGAAACCAGTAGAACAAAATTGAAATGACGAAAAAAAACCCGATGAAAATATTTTGGATCGTGGTCATTTGGGGGTGGGAAAAAATCCGAATCGAATTCTAATTATAACTGGATGCTAAGTGTAAATGATTGCTGGTGTGTCTTGATAATAATGATGTTGATCGGTCTTTGTCACCGTTGTTGTCGTAGCCGTCGTCGTAGTCGTTGTCGTTATTATCATATTCATATCGTGGCGGCCATCAACATTATTGACATCAACAACAACAACAACAAAAACAACAACGATAATGATGATGATGATGATGAGGAAAAGAAATTTTTTTTTATTTCTCCAAAATTCAAGAGACAAGACAGAAATCTTCAATTTTTTTTCTTTGAATTGAGCCTTGAAGTAGATTAATCTAGCGTATATTTTGAAACATCGAAATTGAATGTGATATATCGTTATTATTGTTGTTGGTTGGTTGGTTGGTTGGTTTGTTGGTTTGTTGTCGATGATTGTTGATGTGTCAAATCTTCATTCAAGACATTCGAATTTTTGGTTCAAGTTTTGATCAATTGATTTGAAATCAAAAATTTTTTTTCACTTCTTTTTCTCGTTCATTTTGATATCAACATTGAAATCATAAATATCATATCAATCAATCAATTCATTCATCGATTGATTGATTTGTATCAATTGATTTTTGTGTGTGTGTGTGTTGTGTTTGAAGAATGAGGATAATGCTGATGATGAATCACTGACCATTATTTTGTTTGTTTGTTTGTTTTAATTGAATAATTTTCGCGAATTTTTTTTTTTTTTAAATAATGAAATTTTTTAAAACTAAAGAAAAGAAAATTCTTTTTTTTTTTGCTGATGTTTAAAATTTTTCCAACAACAACAGAAGCAGAATCAATATTCTGGGATATTGTTGAAATTTTTGTTTTATTTATATTTAACAATTTTTTTTCTGTTTACTTGTTGCTTTTTTGTTTTAACAATCTGTTTTTGTGGGTGTGACAACATATAGTCAGATTAGATATTCAGAACTCATAGATACACAGAAACGTACACACTGATGAGAAAAAAAAATCATTCTGTAGGCGTGTATCTAACACATTTTGGTTCCTCCTCCTTTTTTTCTTACAAGCAAACAAAATTTTCTTAGCTTTCCTTATGGAATTCATCGGATGAATGAATGTACATTCTTCATTTGCATCATCATCAATCGTTCAATATGAATCTAAATCCAATTTGTTTGTGTTATGTATATATAATTTAGTGCCGCACACACACACACACGCACTAAAATTAGCCAAAATAACCAACAACAATTTTCAGTGCAAAAACACACGCAAAATGTTTTGATTATTATTACGAATTTATATCCGCCGTGCAAAAACAAAACACACACACATAGTAATCGAACAAGAACATCGACATCGGCCATCAAGTTCAAATATCAAATACAAATACAATGTGGAAAAAATATTGTACATTGAATACTTTTTTTTCCACTACCCCTTTCCTAGTAAATCATGTCTGATTTTTCGATTTTATCATTGCATCAAGGGGCACAAAGTAATAAAAGATTTCATAAAACAAAAAAAAAAAAAGTCAAAAATTATGAAATTGATAATTTAAAAAAAAACAAGAGGAGAAAAAATTTGACATTTGATAAAAATAACACACTTGGAAAAATGAATGTCATCATCACGACGATGATGATGATGTTGATGATAATCGATTGATTTAATTGAAAAAAAAATTAATCCTGGACGGATGTTGATCGATATCAATATATTATTTTTTTTTGTTTATCAATCAATCAATAATGTGGATAATGTAACGATCGAGGATGTTGACATTGTACAAAAAATGGATTCTTTATGGATGAAAAAAAATGATTTTTCTTTTCTGGTTTTTGCAAGAATAATTTTTGTTTTTTGTTTTTGGTGTTTTCCATGAGAAAATGTAATTTGATAGTATTTCAATCGATTTTTTTTTTGGTGATGAATCTCAATTATTTGATCGATAATTTGATCATAATGATTTTATGGCCACTTTTTTCGTTTGTTTGTGTTTGGAAACAAGAACAGAATCTATAAAAAAAAAATTTTAATTGACAGATAATTTATGGTGTTTACCCAAAGGATACTGTGGAACATTTCTGAAACACACACAAATACATACAACCCTCAAACATTTTTTAAATGAAAATTAAAAAAGTGAAATCTAATAAGGGTACCATAAATCTGACAAAGAAAAATTTTTTTTTTTTGGTCCATCTGTGTGTGTGTGTGGGCGGCTGTATTCTGTGTTGGGAAAACAGATTTGTAAACAAAACAAATATCCAAAAAAAAAGAGAAAAGAATTTTACGAGCTACTGGGCATAGCCACCCACAATAACCATCATCATCATTATCATTATTATTATCATTTGGACAAATTGACCGTTTTGTTTATGTGTGTGTGTGCGAGTGTGTGGGTGTTTGTATCATATCAAAACAAATTTTCTGGTTTTTTCTTCTTGTTCTCATCAAATCAATCGGTGATGATGGCTTCTGGCCTAATCATTCAAAGTGCAACAAGTTGTTTGACCAATCTGTGTGTGTGTGTGTGTGTGTGTGCTACAAGTGTATGAGAATATCATGTTTTTTTTTTTTTTTCACTTGTTTAGACATTTCTTGTCGTTTTTTTTTCATTTCATTTCACATTGTTTACATCAATTGCCACAATTGGATTGCTAAATATCAACATACAAGCACACACACACACACACACACATACTGACATTGTAGGTACAGTTTATTGGCTTTGATTTTTTTTTTTTTTGAGCCTTCACAGGCTTCAACAACATCTTCAGAAACAGTGTTTAGAACAATAATTTTTTTTCAGTTTTATACCAAAATTTTAGCTAAAGATGGATATAACCAACGCACATGGAACACACACGAATATACAACCAAAAGACATTTGGGGTAGCGATTTTTTTTGTTTTGTTTTGTTTTGTTTATTTATTGTCAATTGTTTATACATTTTTTCTAGCTAACACACACACACGAACAAAAATCTTTGATTCAAATTGAATTGAATTGAATTTACGAGCAAAAGCAAAAGCAAAAAAACTTTTCAAAATCAAAATCGATCAATGTTCAGTCAAACTATTTCGTTTTCGGTTGTTTATTGGCCATCATCATCATCCTCATCACCATCGCTACTGTTTTGGACGATAACGGCAAATCTCAAATCGAATCAAGACAATAACAAAAACAAAAACAGAAAAAAATTCGACAATGAAATCATCAATCAAACAGTAGTAGCAGTGTGATGATGGTGAAAGTTATGGAGAAAAGTTTCCAAAAGACAAGTGTGTGTGTGTGTGTGTAAGGCAATTGACTTGAATTACTTTATATCTTTGAAGTTACAAGTGGAAAAAAAATTCTCAAGTTTTTTTTTGCATTTGTTATCTATAAATCCATGATATCATATTGGTGATTTATGAAAAAAATTTTTTTTGTCTCATCAACCAATATCGATTGAAACTTTGTAAAAAAAAAGAAAATTTATTCCATCCGCATCCATGGTGGTCGACTGATTATTATTATGATTATTGTCATCTTTTTTTTATCATCTTATCGAATCGGATCAATCAAAAATACAATATGAATAGCAATGAGTGGTTGTTGGCGGCGGCGGTGGCAGCAGCAGCAGCATCAGCGATTTATTGTAAATTAGATTTGACATAAGCCGATTGACAAACAAACCAGAAGAAAAAAAAAAAGATGATGACAGCCGAAAGCTATTAACGTTTTTTTTCGGCTGATCATGGAAATGAGAACAACAAAAAAAAAATGCCGGAAAAAATATAAAATAAAAAAGGCCGCGCGTGCAATCGAATTTGGTTGTTGCCCTCGCTCTTTCTTTCTTGTGTCATTGGATCCAAATCCAGTGGCAAAAATCTTCAAAAATTTTTTTCTCATCTTTAAAGATCATGATCATCTTGAACATATTATTAAGTCAGCCACAGATCTATAATCTAGAAAAACTATGCGTAATTCAATATTGTCTGGTCAATTTTTTTTTTTTCATAAAAAACAAAAAAATTTTAAATTTAAAATCCATGTTGTTATGTTTTTCATCCTAATCAAGATAAAAACAAATTGCCGAAACAGAGATAGAGAGAGAGATAGAAAAAAAATCTTCCCAACCAAAACATCAAATCATCATCATCACCCAAAGAAGAATGAGAAAGTTTTCGAAAAAAAAACGATGTGAAATTGGCTGATGGATTTTTTTTTCATTTCACTGATGTACATAATGTGTGTGTGTGACAAATAAATGGATCAAATTACAGCTCTGGCCCAAAAAAAATGATTGACTTTAACACAATGGACAAAAAAAAACATGGATCGTGGCCAAAATTTGTCCTAGAATTTGTCCTAGAATTTTTGTCCTAGAATTTTTTTTTTTTTACGATTTACGAACATCTACAATTCACGGTAAAATAAATGTTCAGAATCAGAATCCGATATTCAACAAGCATTTCATTCATTCATGCCACCATCACATGATCAGCAATTAAGCTCTCAAGATTCTTAAATTGTTGGATTTTTTTTTTTTTTTTGGTAAAATAAATGTTCAGAATCAGAATCCGATATTCAACAAGCATAGGCAAAAGAAAAACATTCATTTTTCTCTTTCGACATCATCATCATCATTCAATTTTTTCTTTGAAATATTCATGTTATTCATGACTAAATCATTTCCATTTTCGATTTGATCGACAAAAACAAAAAATCTGGCATCATCATCGTTGCATTACAGACAAAAACGTATGCACGCAAATCATGAAAAAAAACCAGCATGATGATGATCTGTTGATCATACTGATCAACCAAAATCAAACAGCAAGCAAGCAAACAAGCAAATAGAAAAAAAGAAATCCCGAACCAAACCAAACCGAACCAGACATCAACCATTAAACAGACACACACACACACACACACAAAACAAGAAAAAGAATCTGAATTTGAAGCAAAAAAAAAACCATCATCAGTATATCATCCCAGAATCATGAGCAATAAGAAGAAAAAAAAACCGAAAACGTTGAAATTAATCACAAACTAAATGCACACACATTGATGACGATAATGTCTGCCAATAATAAAATATCAGCAAGCAGCGAAAAAAACCAGGCTTGACAGCACGCACACACAAACACACAGAGGGAGATAGAAAACGGTTCCGAAATTCTCTATCTGAATATATAAAGAATTCTTGGCATGAAAAACGGAAAAAAATCGACATTTAACAGTGAAAATAAAAAAAAAAAAAAAAAATACAAGCACACACATACACATCACATCACATCACCCCGGCAAGCCATTACCAAAGAAAATGGAAAGATTAATCTCGAATAAAAAAATTATTCACATTGTGCACATCTGTGTGTGTGTGTGTGTGTTTGAATTGGTGGTAATTAAACTGCCGTTCATCAAGAATATGAATAAAAAAGGTTAATGCCAATGTTTTCTTTTCTGGTGTAGTTTTTCTTCTCAATGTTCTCGATTTTTGATGATTATGATGAAGAATAATGTGGTATGGTCGCAAACACAGATGGTCGAGCTTCTATTATGATTATACTGATTTGATTTTGTTTGTCTGATGATTATAATCATTTTTTTTTTTTTTGTATTTTATGGTCAATTTCAGTCAATGTTTTTATTTTTCTTTTGAAGAATAGCGACGTTTTTTTGTTTTGTTTTTGAATTTCGTTAACAAAAAAAAAACATAAAAAATCAAATTTTTATTGAAACACGTAACGCCATCTATATCAGTTGATTGTTATTAGGAATCTTGTTGCTGCCGTACCAGATTACGATTACCACATTGATGATCCCATTCATCAAGATCAAGAAATAAATTTTTATATTTCGATTGCAAATATCCTAATGGTATTCTTGTTAGATTTTGTTCACATAAAGGAATTTTTAATTCATCCACTGTAATACGATCAAATGGACCGGGAACATTGGAAAAATATAAATGAACAGAATCTTCTTGTTTACTATATTCAAATATTAACATTGAACCAAATTTCAATGATAATTGATTTATATTAAATCCAAGTGCATCTTGTAAATGAAATAATTGTGAATCATGCTGAAAACATATGATGAAAACAGAATTCAATGAATTTATACGAAAAAAAATTCTATAAAATTACCGTCACATAAATAGACAGACGACTTGCATTCGGATTCGTTTCCATATCTAATCCATTGAATATTTCATTCATTAGTACGCCTGTTCGTAAACGTCGTAATTCTGGTTCAATATTACCAGTAAAATCAAAACGAAATGAAATATCAAAAATTTCTTTCAATTGTTTATAAATATTAGCCGTACACCATTTTGGAAGACGATGGCCATGATGTTTAGATGATACAAGATTGTCAACAAAATCTCTTATATCACGATGATTATGAAGATTTTCGTGTACAATACAGGAAATATTTTGAATCAATTCTTGATGTAAAAGCATAAAATTCTTGACAATCGATGAATTCGGAATTCGATCAAATAATCGTGAAGCATATATACAGGTTGAAGATGGATTTAGAAGCTGAAAAGAATTTGACAATTGAAGAATTTTTTTTTTTGTTTTCATTTTACACAATCACTTACACCTTCACGCCATCTTTGTATTGTAAATATGGGCACTGGTTGCCATAATTCACCAAGATCAGATTTCCATTTCCAATTACCGATTGGTGGTGTTAAACCGGCTGCAATCAATTGTGAACTTTCTAAACATCGTGGAACCGCCGAACTACGTATATAAATATCACGTGGTGAAATATAACGACCAGAAAATTGATGTGAATAACGTCGTCGTAAAAATTGTCCGGTACGATACATTCGTGTACGACCTTCCAATGTTAGATAACCATAACCTAGTGGCCATAATTCATTCATTTTATCACGATCAAATGTGAATGGCATTAGTGGTGCACGATCACCATGTCTTACGATGACACAATGATACGATCCAAATGTTGTTTGTTGGATTTATATGATAATGAACATGAACAAAAATCGATCAAGAAAAACAATGACAAAATATTAGGTATTTTCATTATTTTCAAAACAAAAAAAAAATCTTTTTCTCTCTTTTACCAATAAATCAATCACCAGTAATGATTTAAATATTTACAAATAACAAAGTGCTGTATTGATTAAATTATAGAAAAGTTTGTTGTTTTGCCAGCAGATGGCAGGTAATTGGCAAGTGACAAAAAAAATTTTAAAAAATTCTTTTACGAAACAAAAAAATTTTTATTAACTCTTCAATGCCAGTATTTTCATTCATACAGGTGTTGAACAGTGATAAAAAAAATTGATGAAAATATGAAAAATAACAAGACATGAAAAAGAGGTAAGTGATCATCAAATAATCACCGAGAAACAAAAGTCATAAAATTCATCAGGTGTGTGTGATGATGATGATGATGATATAGTTATAGTTATAATATATCTATATCTATAACATCAGGTAATACAGTGTGAAATGAAACAAAAAAAAATTTGCATAACTAAAAAAAATCAATCCGATGCACGTGTTTTTTTTCCACTTTCTCTTGGCCAAAAGATCATCAGATTTTCATCGATGACCATTAATGATGTATGCAGACCACTGGCGACTCCATGGTGATAATTTTATGTATTTTTTTTCTTGTTGTTGTTGATGTTTAAACCATTAAAAAAAATGATGACCATCACAACAATCAAACATTTTTTACTTTATTTTTTTTTTTTTTTTGCAATAAAGGTCAAAAGACTTTTATGTATTTGAATTGATGGTGATGATAAATATCCAGAAGGGTTACCAAGTTTGACCAGAAATAAACATTGATTGAAGTGTTCTTTTTTTTCATTTTCGGGATAGAATTATCATCATCGTCATCGTCATCATATGTAAAATTTTTTTTTGCCATATATTAACATTAGCAGTATATACTTGATGATGTACTATGTTGAGCATCCATCATTATTCATGCATGCACACAGTGAGTGAACACATACATACAACACGATTACCACCTACTTGGCTAGAAAAAAAAAAAAAAACGAATGATCAGCCAATAACAAAAAAAAAATTTCATTCAAAATTGATCATCGATTTAATGATATGATTCAATGGTGGTTATTCATCGATTGAAGAGTGTAATAATAATAAATAAAATAAAAAATCGATCATTCATCGAGAGGAATTGAGAAGCGAAAAAAAAATCCAAAAATAACAACAAAACAGGATGATTTATCAACACACAACAAACAAAACCAAAATCATATCGTCGCCGTTGTATCGAATAATCATCATCATCATCATCGTGGTCAATTCGAACGTTGATGATCATGATCCTGGTCATCATTCATAATCAGGAAAAAAAATCAATGTAACTTTGCCAAACAAATAGATATCAAACAAAAATTATCATCATCATCATCATCATCATGAACAGAGATTTAAAACAGAGGAAAAAAATTTTTTTTTGACAACCAAAAACAAGGAATGAAACAAAAATCAACGATGATAAATGTTTGTGATTCTAAAAAAAAAAAAAATGCAAGAAAGAAAACATCGTATGATGAGGATTTCTATAAAAAAAAATTCTAAGCCATCCAAAAAGTAAAGCTGTTGACAGTAATGTTTCATCATCATCATCATCATAAAGTGTTAAAATAAATCGATTAAGCAAGTGAAAAAGTGAAAAAAAACACATCCTCATCCTCATAGATTCATAAATCATATTTAGAGAGAAAGAACGAATTATGATTATTATCATCGTACGCATTAAATCCCTTTCAAAGTTGAAGCAAAAAAAAAAAAATGGGTGACAAATCATATTTTATACTTTGTGTATGAATTATTATGTCCATCAATAATAATAATAATGTGAGTGTGTGTGAGAGAGAGAGAGAGTTAAAAAAAACCTGATGACAAGCAAAGATGATGATGATGATTATTCAACAGGTTTGATAATTGAAAAAAAAACATAACATCATCAATACGAGTAAAGCGATGAAATATGAAATAACAACAGCAACGAAATAAGCGATAAGATAGTGGAAAAACAAAACTGTCAACATTAACATTCCATAAATTGATCCATAGAAAAAGATATCATTGATTTTTGTGTGTTGAAAATAAAAATTTTTCATTAAATTCTTCCAATGAAAAAAAAAATCATCGATGATCGAATGTATGGGAATCATATACTGCACAATGTCATTAATCTTGTGTGTGTGTGTGTGTGTGTCACGTTCACGTTTTGCAATAAGTTCTATGTATGTTTCTGTCTAGTTTTCTCCATTTTCAAAAAAAAAAAAAAAAAAAAATGGTCATCATGATGGACAGTTTGGATATTACCTGCTGATTGAAAATTTTTCTTTTCTCTGATTATGTGTGAATAATCATCATCATTTTATTATTCTTATTAATCATGATGATGATGATGATGAAGAAAAAAAAACCTGGAAACATTAAAATTGATTGCTTGGTTGGTTGGTTGTTCGAAGATCATCGATTATTTTATATGGACAAACAAACAAGAAAACACTTGGTGAGATTATCACCATATTCACCTTGTTGTTGTTATTGGCTATGATCACTCTATGTATGTGTGTGTGTGTGTTATTAGATGATGATGATGATGACGATGTGGTGATCAATCAAATTATGACGAAGAAATTTTCGATTAGAAAATATTCAGCCTTTTTTCACAATTCAGCATTGTGAGATCACGGTAAAGAAAAAAAAAACAAAGATAATTTCCATTGATTAGATCTCTGGGACAGATTCAAATCCTTCGAGAGAGAATGTGTGTGTGTGTGTGTGTAAAAGGGTTGAAAACCATGATGATCCACTATTGTTGTTGTTGTTGTTGCTGTTTTTTTTTCAACAAAATTTAAATAATTACCATCAATAATTACTTCCACCTGGCCAAAAAAAACAATTCATTTTGGTGGAATATTTCAAAATGAAGAATTAAATTCCGCAAAAAAATATCTAAATTGTTTGTTTATGTCATTAGTCATTAGTAGTAGTAATAATAGTAAATGGGTAAATCACTCTATTGGAACATTTCATTCCAAAGGATAATTAAATGGTAGTAGGTGGTAAAAAAACAGGTTAGGTTAAATCATCAACTGTTTCTTGCATTTTATTTGATCATTCATCAACCAGAACCGTGTATCGTTAAAATCAATTGACCAAAAAAGAAAAAAAAACAAAAAACACTTGGTGGCATTGTAAGAATCACTTGTTGAATTCAAAAGTGAATAAAATATTGGCTTCTTTCTCTTCATCATCATGGACAATGGTGTTCCAGAAAAAAAAATTCCAATTAATAATCTTGAACAAGCGTCAACATATAGGACAATTGTCAAATTATTTGCTATGTATATGATAGTCAAGTGTACGTATACGTGTGGGGCAATTAAATTGGTTAACGACAACTGTAACGAATGATTCGCTGCTGTAGGTATTTGTATGGTGTAAAATAAAAAAAAAAAAAAAAACATTGTCCACCTTTCTATTTGTTTGTTAGACAATTGTTTGTTGTTGTTGTTGTTGTTATGTCTAGACTCATTCACAAATAAAATATAAAAATTGATTCGAATGTCACACACACATTCTTATTCATAAAGGGGTCAAAATAATCGAAGATTACACACTGTTTTACTTCATTTTTATGGATGATTAATGATTATTGATACCCAATGACCATAGTTGACACACACACACACACACACACACGCAAGTTCATTGGAACAAATTCTTTAAAATGAAAAAATATTGTCAACCAAGAATCTTTCCAGAAAGATTTTTTTCTTTCATTATCAAGGACAAATGATGAATGTGTATCATTTGAAAATGACCAAAACAACAACAACAACAACAATTGATGATGGTGATTGGCGCCATTAAACCATTGTCAATTGTCAATAAAAATTTTTTTTTATTTGAAATTTTCAAATGTTTTTAGTCATCTAAACATATAACAACAACAACAATAATAATAAAACGTCAACGGTCAATAGGTGTCGTCGTCGAGACACAAACTCTTTATTTATTTTCTTTTTAAAAATCTCATTGACAAACAAAAGCCAATCGAAAATGAATGGGAAAAAATTTTTTCAATTTCAAAAGGAACACCATTGTCCACCACCACAACAACAACAACAACAACAACCACAACCACACCATTATGTGTGTGTGTGTGTGTGTGAATAACTATTGATTATCAAATAATAACTGGAACATTATTCCATTCTCAATGGTTGAATAGGAAAAAAACATTTTGGATCATATAAACAAAAACAAACGCAACAACAACAACAACAACAAAAAAACAATTTGACCACCAGAAGCAACAAAAGAAGAAGAAAAAAAAGGTCAAAGTGACAAGTCAACAACAAATAATGTAAAAGATGAGGTTCGTTTTTGTTGTTGTTGTTGTTGTCGTTGCACGAGTAATATAACTTGTCAAAAAAAAATCTGACATTGAAACCTTATGCGTGTGTGTGTGTGTGTGTGTGTGTGTGTGTGTCGGTGATTGACATTGATACATTTTTTTGTTGTCGTTTTTTTTCATTGGAAGAAAAAAAAATTCCCATTCTTTCGACACCTTTACGAATGATCATTTCATGTCAATAGAAACTGATCATGAAAATGGAAAAATTTATATGAAATTTACTTCTGCTGCCGCTGATTTCTAATTAATTTTTTTTTTTGCTTTTCCAATAAATATTCCATAAATTGATTCAAAGTTTTTCAATGCGTAAAATTTATTATTATTATTATTACACACTTTTTTGGGGCTTGTTAGTTAGTTAGTTAGTTAGTTAGCAAGTTAGTTTTAGGATTGATATCTTAAAATTTTCATGTCCAACCGTGTGTCTAGACCATCATTTTTTGTTTTGTTTTGTTTTGAATAGAAAATTTGAATGAGTGAATTGAAAAAAAAGAAACTACTGGTGAAAAGAAATTGAAAAAAAATCAC